TCCCCCTCCTATTGGCTATGCTGGAGCTGATAGACTAATGTGGAGGAATTATAACCTCTCTAGTTCTCTTGTTAAACAAGCTTACATTAGGCTTTCTAATTTTTCTGGTTGTGCAGATTTCCCTTGGAACAGGATTTGGAGCTGGAAGGGCCCAGAAAAGCTAAAATTTCAAATTTGGAAGATGTCTCATGGTAGAATGCTTACCAGAAATAGAACAGCTCTTTGGGGAGCTGGCTCGGATAGATGTGAGACTTGCAAAGATAAATTAGAATCTCCCCTACATGTCTTCAGGGACTGCCCAGTTGCTACTGGTCTATGGAATAATCTGAATTGGAACAATATTCCTCCTAATTTCTTTACTGAACAAGATAATTTGAAGTGGATGAAGTTGAACCTGAATCATCTAGACGGAGGGACATATGACTGGAGAAGCTTTTTCTTTATTGGTTGTTGGTTTCTTTGGTGTTGGAGAAATAAGGAAATTCACGAGCCTAAATTCAATAGACCAGGTAACCCTTCGTCTGAAGTGCTAAAATTTCATCATGATATCAAACATTGATAAGCCCAAGATAAACGAGTCCTCAGTTGCCCCTTCCTCCAGTTCTTCATTCTGCGCTCGGCCTTCAATTAACTGGTGTAAATTGAATGTTGATGGGGCAGTGACATGTGGTAAAGCTGCTTGTGGTGGGCTTATTCGTGACTGTCAAGGCAATTGGTTAGGTGGTTTCAAAACTTTCTTAGGGTGTTGTTCCCCTCTCCTTGCTGAGCTCTGGGCTATCTATAATGGTCTAGTGTTTGCTTGGAATTCTGGTTTTAAAAATCTAATAGTTGAGAGCGACTCATCTCAAGCTATTAGTCTTCTTACCTTAATTGGTAATGATGCTCGAGAACTGCATTTAGTGGTTAGGATTCGAGCCCTTGTTGATAGATCTTGGACTGTCAAATTTACTCATGTCTTGAGAAGCAGTAACAGCTGTGCGGATTGGATTGCAAAGAGAGCTTTATCTTGTTCCTTGGGTACATCGGTTATAGTCTCTAATGACCAGGATCTTCAGAAGTTGATCTCCTCTGATATTATAGGGTCTTCCAGCCAGATCTGGCTTGCTGCCCCAGATTAGTCTTTACTGTTCTTTTTTGTCTTTTATTTTTATTTTTATTTTTATTTGTTTGTTTTGTCTTCTTGGGCCTTTGCCCCTCTATTGTACCCAAAAAAAATAAAAGGTCCAAAAGGAGATACTGGATCTCCCATTGAATGATATAGATCCAAATTGAAAATAATATTTTATTAAAAAAACAAAGTGGGGGGGGGGGGGGGGGGGGGGGGGGGGGGGGGGGGGGATCACATCATTTCCATCCGCATGGGGTCAGCTATCATCAAAGTTACAATTTTCAAAAGCATATCAGATTTCGTTTGCAAAGCTGCTATGGACAGTGTGTTTAATTGGATGGTATATAAGTAAGCATTAAACCTTTTCTTTTTTTTCTCCCCATCGAATTCATTAAATCTGCTTTTTAATTCAATGCATTTGAATATAGGTTTAACATTTGTCCTTTTAGATTGATGTCATCTCATTTTAATTTTTAACATTATATATTATAAGTAGTATATAATTATAGAGTAAAAGATTTCTCTAGTCAACAGATATAAGTTATTTTCGGTGAGCTCAAAACGACGTGTTTTGGAACGGAAATCGAGGTGTTTTGTTATTATCTTCGGTGATGTCATTTTAAGCTCACTGGAGATAACTTTATCTCCGATAACTGAAAAAATACTTTTTCTATAATTATAATATAAAAATTATTTTTTTTTCTCTTCACATCAACTGAAATAATTGAGAAAAAAGAATTTTTTTTCTTCATATTATAACTATGGATTTTATTAATCTCATGTTAAACGAGATAAGTTATCTCATGTCATAGAGATAAATTTATGGACTCCACCACCTGAAAAAAAAAAGAAAAAAAAAAGAAAAAAATGACACAGTTATCGAAGAGTGTGTAGGAGAGAAAGTTACCACATGTAACATAAGAGTAATTTTTTTCTGTAACTATATGTTATTCATAATATAAAATGTTAAAAATTAAAATGACACAAATTGTGCCATTTAAAAAAAGTTTACCATTGTACCCAAAAAAAAAAGTTTACCTTTGAATATATATAATTTGTATATTTCTGCTTTTCTGAAATCAATTTGATGAGTTTTCTCTCAACACATTAGCTTCTTTTTAAATCGTACTTTTGTTTAATTTAAAAAAAAAAAAGACCTAACTTTCCAACAAATTGAGAACAAGGCCCTTCACAATTATTTGCATTGGGAGGGATGAGAGCTTTGGGATTGAGAAAGTCTCTGTATCTTACTCTCACAGGCACAGCTTTCTTGATCGTGCTGTTATGCTTCCTTCTATATCACTACTCTCCACCGGTTGAAAGGGCTGACAGCAACATGATTCTGCTCAAGCCAAGATCAATTGTAAGCATTACTCTGTAGATTCTTTTTCATTTAAATTCTGTTAATTAGCATCACTACATATATATTTATCATTAATAATTATCGTCTGAATCTTCAAAGCTGTATTTGATTAGGATAAATATATTGATAAATGGAATGAAATTTTAAGGTGAAACAGTGGCGGAATTATTTTCATCTTTATATAAATTTACCATCTTTCATTGTAAACATTTTTAAATCATTTATTTATAAATAGTGATGAATTTACATTAGTGCAAGGAGATGAACTGTTATATCTATGATTAATTCACCACCAATCACGTAGATGATCTGATACATAGAGGGTTATTCCAACTTGATTAGAAATCTTGAGTTCAAGTTGTCCACACCCAACTATACTAAAAACTTGGTAGTTTACGTAAATTTTCATCTCTACAAAAATTTTCTGGGATAGATTCTTTTCTTGAAAAAGTTATTTTTACCTGACAGAAACAGTGACATAAAAGACACTTCCCTGTGCTTCGGATTTGTTCCAAAAGCAGCAGTAGTCGAAATTGCAAATTGATTGCAATCAATTTGCACAAACGGTGTAGCAACGCTGAAACGCGTAAAGCTACAGTATGAATAACAAATCCTTCAGCCTATAAATTAGAACTCATGTCTTGTTGTTTTAAGCATCCCCAAATTTCAAAATCTCAAGTTCAAGAGTTTTTCTTTATATCCCAATTTAGTGAGAAAAAACCAGATATCTCGAGCGTTATTTCGAGTAATGTGTATTTTTTAATATAAGAGAAATTAATATGTTAGGAGAGAGATTATAATTTCTTTCGTATAATAAAAATCTTCCTTGATTTTATTCGTTATTTTTCTGAATTGAGTATTTTATATAAATCTTGTGTATCATTTCAATGATATACTTATCGATCTCTTGACTGATTAAATTAAAATAAAATTAATTACATCGTTGATATCTAAGAAAATGAAAAATTATTTAATTAATCACAATTATATAACACGGAAGGAAAGGCTCTTAATGAATTTCCACTTACTCGGTTGATTGATATAATTATTAATGTTTTAAAATTTTGATTTTTCTTAACTCTATTTTAACTGCTTGCATGTGTTAACTAACATTATCCACAAGTTAAAGTTAATCCAAACATTAAATTACTCCAACATGTTCTTAATGGAAAATTATTTTACATGGTTTATTGGACTCTACGAATCATATGAAATTACAGACAGAAGTGGATGATGATAAAGAACAAAGCATGTGCACTTCAAATTTTGTCTTTGTTATAAGTGTATTGGGGCGATTTGGACCGTTCAACAGTACATTTGAATAAATAAATGTCCAAAAGATTTTACTTATATATATATAAAAGATTTACTTTTTATGCGGTTACCGCAGATAAGTTATATGCAGTAAGCTCAATACGACGTTGTTTTGGAGTGGAAATCATAGTATTTTTGTAATTTTAATTTATTTCAAGGTTATAATAGTCTTTATATTTAAATTTGTTAGGATTTCAATACCAAAATGACATTGTTTTAAGAATAAATACAGATAACTTATCTGTATTAATTGCAGAAATATTTTTCTCATATATGAATCCCATTAATTTTTAATGGAAATTATATTTCTCGTATTATAAAAGATATTTTTTTTTCTATACACATAAAATTATGTGGTGTCATATAAGAAAAATAAATAAATATAAATCTTATATATATATGAAAAAAATAAAATTTATTCACTAGTGAGAAATATTATTCCTCATTTTTATATATGAAAATGATACTGTTATTATAGTATCAACTGACACACTAACCAACAAAAATGATAACGCTATCGGTTGTTGTCAGTGATTCATATTCTATGACACTACTGTGATTTGATTTGTTTGACTTACTAGTCACTTGGTCAGTAGAAATTCAAATAAGACCCTCGAAAATCCTTTTAATTTGTTGCCTCTTTTTGTTACACGTAGCTTAATATTAATCACAATGTGTGTTAATTTTTTTTTTTTCACGTTATCATTTAATTCTGTGTTGGCTACATTATCCAAAGAGTTTGATATTGTAGTTAAACTTTTAAAATAGTGCAAGAACACATGATTAAATGAACTTGTAACAAAGCTTTTGAAAACTGATCCCTGGCATATCAAATAAGAGTATATATTAATAAGGGTTCGTTTTTTTGCAGTAGTTATTGCAGATAAGTAATCTGCAGTATGTTCAATGCGACGTTGTTTGGGATGAAAATCATGATGTTTTTATAATTTTAATTTATTTCAGGATTATAATAGTCTTTATATTTAAATTTTTTAAAATTTCAATACTAAAACGACGTTATTTTAAGAAAATAAATACAGATTACTTATCTGTGTGGAGAAACATTTTTCCTATTAACTAAATTGTCATAATGATTTTTGAGGTTCTCCTAAGTTAATTTGTCATATACTTTCTTATCAGTATCACTCACGAAAACAAGAATTGATTCAAGTGCTGAGGAGAGCAACCATGTCAGACAGAAAAGTTATCCTAACCATGGTAGATGAATCAAGGGCAAGTCCAGGATCTATCCTTGAAGTCTTACTACAAAGTTTCAAATCTGGTGAAGGTACCCAAAGATTGTTGAATCACTTGGTGATCATAACCATGGACCCCCAAGCTTTTGAGTATTGCAGGGCCTTGCATCCCCTTTGCATCCACCCCTCAACCTTTGCACATTATTTTACCACCAAAAGACAATCCAACACAACCCCAGATCATAATGCATATAGTTGGAGAAGAAACAATGTTTTGTTAGAAGTGGTTGAATTGGGTTATAACATAGTTTTCACGGTAAGGGTTCTGATTAGCTTGCATTAAAAAATGATGGATGAATGAATGGTTATTAATATTAATCAACTTTGAATTGCATGTGACTTTTTGTTTTGTAGGATGCGGATGTATTGTGGCTTAGAAGTCCATTTTTACACTTCAATCCAGTGTATGAACTCACAATTTCATGTAATTTCTCAAGTGATGGACAAAGTGGAGGTTACATGCATGATGGGGGAATCTTCTACTTGAAGGCAAATATCATATCGTTTGAATTCTTCAAGTACTGGAAATTAACCAATATTCTGTATCCAAACTCTCTTGATGAAGATTCCTTATGTACAACTATAATGCAAAGTGAAGATGTTGAAGCTCTTGGCTTCCGTGTTAAGCTTGTAAATTCAACTTATTTTGGTGGATTTTGTCAGCTAAATAAGGATATGTTGAGGGAGGCTTATACCATCCATACCAACTGTTGCAATGATCTCAGAAGCAAAGTTCATGACATGAGGATTGTTCTTGATGATTGGATCCGCTTTAGAAACCGTGTATCAGGGGACAATGCTTCG